TTTAAAATTATTAATAAAAAGCATTTTTCAAATCGCCACATTTACACGGTATAATTAATTTTTAAATATTCTAGTGTTATATAAAATCTATCGAGTCTCTTATAAAAATTTTAGTATTTTATAATTGTTTTATAATATATATATATTCAGAATTTTTGAAAACATATTTTTACATTATTAGTGTTATCAATATACATATACATTGTAATTTTGTTTCCTTTTATAATTTAAAGAAAGAATAAAATAATTGTAAAGAAAATCATAAGGCCTAAAAGTATAAAGAATTGTGCAAAAATATCTAAGGATTTACCAATAACAGTTAACGTTAATGAATATCTCGAATGTTATATCTATTTCTGTGTCATGAATTTAAAATTAAGAGCGCTATTTCCTTTTTAGATATGACATTGGAAACAGTTCGAAAAATCAGTTCAAAATTAGATAACACAAGAGATACTGAAACTATGACCACATTACAAGATCGATATTTTGTATAGGCTTTTGTATAGGCTTTTGTATAGGTTGCACTACATGAAATATTGAATGCATTTCAATGTGTGTAATAGAAAATGAGATTGTGTGTAATAGAGAAGAATATATAAATGATTAAAAAAATTAATTAAAATTAGCCATGCAATTGTAATTATAATTACAATTTTATAACTCTCTTGTTTTTATTAGTAAATTTGAAAAAGTGTCAATTCATCATATTTTTAAATTTATTCACTAGTTTAATCTATTAGTGCTTACTATCTTCATTTGAAAACAATCACGTTTTAGCATGTTGAATGTTGAATAAGCGATTTGTTTATCTCTTATTAGTGCAAACAGACTTTTCTTTCAGTTGTAATCTATTTCTCAGAGGTGATATATATTGTTTTAAATTATTTCTGTCAGCAAAGAAATAACATTTTCCCCAAAAAATTAAAAAAAAATAATAAATTGGGCATTAATGGGTTAAATGCAGAAGTGGTTTCTGCTATTTATCTATACCCTAAAAAGTTTTATAATTTTAACATACATTGCTAATAAACAAAATTATTCTCGAATCATGTTTCAATATTTATTTTGCAATTTCTAGGCGACACCACGGATAGAACCTTCCCATACGAACAGGATATATACAAAATATTTCGGATGGATAAAACATGTATCAGTAGAGCCGACTATGTGGCTCTACATGATGGCATTTATGTTCACATCGGTCATAGAGCAAGACTTGTTTAGATATAAAGCGTGTCGAGTGGATCATGGTTGCTCTGAAGAAATTTGTAGACACCTAAGTGATGATGATAATAAAGAAATAAAGACCAAAGTACAGGTAAAACATTATGTATACCATATTTAAAATAAAAGAGAAGAAACATAAAAAAAAAGAAAAACACGCGCATTATATTAAACTATTGAAGCATTTAATATTGAGATTATTGGAATAAGTGCTTGCTTATCAAATGCAAATCTTCAGCTGATAATAGTACTTTATAATACTTGTACGAATCTCATTTGCAACTACAATGTAAGAAATTATTGACGTATAGATAATCAGTGAAAATATAATTGGAATGTTAAACAAACGTAATTGCCAAGTTAAATATTAGCAGGATATACCCACGCAATGAGAATACGTAAGACAATATATTCAAACATCTCCGAACTTATTTTATTTCACGAAAACTTATATATTAAACAGAAGATTAAATAAAAGAATTTAGGCAGTTTTACGAACACATGATATTTCATCCACATGATATTTCTTTTTATCGCAATTTAGGATAGCAGTTTTGATGCTGAGACAATAATTGATTTTCATTCTTCAATTACGTTTTATTAAGAAAAGATATGTGAAAAATTGATCTTGTAGATGACTGTCTCAGAATTTCATCAATGGAATGACATTGCCGGACACGTAGTGCCTATTATCTTGGCGATGTTCTATGGCAACTGGAGTGATCGGCGTGGACGTAAATTGCCGCTCGTCCTTGGTCTAATGGGCAAATTTATTTATTCCTTCATGATCGTAATCAATTCCTTGATAGACACTTGGAATCTGAATATGGTGGTGTACACAGCAACTCTGCCAATGAGCATTCTGGGCAGCGATGTCGCGATCTTCGGCAGCAGTTTCGCGTACATATCGGACATAAGCTCCGTGCAACAGAGAACCATGAGAATCACGATTTTGGATGTCATTTATCTTAGTACTATGCCTACAGGTAGAGACAAGCATTCTCAAAACAATTTTATCCAAAGATATAAATTATGTGAATAATTATCATTAAAGAACTTTAATTTAAATAAAGATTATAAATTTTTAAGACGTCTTCTAAACTTTTGAATCGTTGAAATAAATACAATGTTATCAATGTTACTATCGATAATCTAATAATTAACGACTCAAAAATCATTTACAGAAAAAAAGATATTTACAATAAATATTGAGTCTTTATTAAAATTTAAATTAAAGTAAAGTAAAATTTAATTATTATAAAACAAAATTATGTAATAAATTTTATTAAACAATTATAATAATAAATATTCAATATTTATTATAAAATTTATTTTTTTCTATAAACAATTTTAACGTTAAAATTAATAGAAGATTGTCGTTGATAACATTATTTATGCTACTTTAATTTTACGAATATATCTGCGGTTATATAAAAATCTTTGCAATTTTGTAACATTTAAATAACTAATCATGTTTCTTTTCATTTGCAGGAGTTGCACTTGGATCGTACGTATTTACACATTTGGTCAATATGTCCTACGCGATTATGTTTGCTGTAAACGCGAGTTTGCTTTTAATAGCGATTATATATTCGCTTGTGTGGCTCAAATGGCAAACATCACCAAGGCAGCAACCGCTTTCAGGTAATAATTGGCTGCTAGACTTCTTCGACAGGCGACATATCGCTACGACAATACGAACATTGTTGAAGTCGAGACTCAATCATGGTAAATTACACCTGTGGTTGCTTCTACTGGCGATGTGTCTATATACATTCCAAAGAGATGAAAAAGCCAAGAGTCAGATGTATACCTCGCTAATCTTTAACTGGAATGTGACGGATTTTAGCAACTTTAAAACGTTCCAATCGACTCTCTTCGTATTAGGTCAGTTTAACGTAGATTGATTCAAATTAGTCACATTAACATTTCGCAAATCTCGACGATATAAATTCACAATGAGTTTAGCAAAGTGAAAGGAGAAATTTCTTCTCGAAATCGTAAAAACTTTCACTTTCAACTAATTCATGATCTCGATTATTAATGATAATTATTTAGCATTTTTCTATTATAATAGAAAAATTATGACCCAATTGCGAAATTAAAGTCAATCTTGTAAAAGGTTCAACTTTTTTGTGTAAGAAAATAAGATAAATTATTATGTCGTAATTGGATTTGAAAATTTGTCTTAAGTAATTTTTAGATATTCAAATTTTTTTGACTTTAGCACTTTTTTATAAATATAAACATTTAAAATAAATTAATAAATTCAGATCTTAATACCACCATGTAGTTTATAAAAATAAATAATCCTTATCTTCATAAAAATATTTTAATTATATAATTATCCTCCATAAATACTTTGAATGCTATTAGAAACATAAAATATGAAATACTTAAAAGAAGTTTGTTCCCACAGCAATGCTTATTGGAGTGCCTGTCATGAGTAAATTAATAAGAATGAAGGACACTTTCATCGTAATGATTGGAGCAATAGCGCACGCAGCTGGAAGAATAGTATTTGTTTTAGCGAACCGGCCGGAATTATTTTATGTGGGTAAGTATAAACGATCTTTCTCGACTATATCTATATCAATCAAATTATTTCTGACAATAAATATTATAAGTACGATGTCATTATCATTCAAACTTTTTAATAAGAATATTATATTCGCATTCTTTTATATTTAAATAATAAAGTAATTAGAAGTTATTTTATAATAATTATATTGCAGGTGCTACTGTCGCTGCATTAGGACCAGTGGTAGCTCCAGTACTCAGATCTATGACCTCAAAACTTGTACCTGTAGAGGAACGAGGTGTGTGATAGTAAGACGTCCGACAAGATTGATCTTTTTCGTAATGCAAATGTGAATAGCCATTCCTGACATGTTACTTATTGAACGTTGGCCATCACGTCACAATTATTAGAAAAATGACTTCAAAGAGGCAAGAAATATGATAATTTTGAAGATCTTCATGTAGTTGTTGTAATTTCAGCAGCAAAATTTTTAAAAAATTTTATTAATGGCACACTATCATAACTTTTATGATAGTGTATCATAAAACTTTTAGCTTTAAAATGCATTTTGTTTTATTTCAGTATAATTTTTTGTTTTTAAAATAAAAGCAATTTTTAAATACTTCTTTTTCTATATATAATAATATTATATATATTATTATGTATATTATTATGTATATTTCAATATATTATATGGAAAAAGCATTATGTTCCATTTTAATACTGCATTATGTAAAAAGTATCTACTTCAATAATTATATAATATACTCAGAGATTAAATAAAAAAACAATATGAAACTGACAAAATACAATATGGCAGAAAAGATTACAATTTTCATTATGTGCGATTCAAGATTATAATCTTCTTGCAATATTGTATTTTGTCAACTTCATTACATTTTGATTAATATAATCCTATTATATTATACTAGAGCACTTTATTTTTCACTTTTCACATAATGCAATATTAAAATGGAATAAAATATTTTTTTATTTATTACATCATAGAAAAAGAACTATTTTAAAATTGCTATCTTGAAAACAAAATCATCAAACCAAAACAAAATCTACATATTACAATTCGCAAATCGCAAAACGTAGTTCGTAAATGCAGATGCAGAATGAAAATTTGCATTTGTTTTTTTCATTGTATGCGATTGTTTTTCATTTTGTGTACGGTGATCGTCTTCAGCATTTGTGAACTACGTCTTGCAATTTGCGAATTATGTAGAGGCACCTACCTTTACAGCTAAGTTAATACTTTTGCATGGCATTAATGAAATTTAAAAAAATTTGCTATCGAGGCTAATGTCGAAATTATCGTTTTTTTATTTTCTAATGTCATTTTTCCTACAATTGTGACACGACAATTTGGCTAACGGATTTATATTCAGCAAACAAAAATATAACGAAAATAACTACATATCCGTGTTGAAAAATAATATTGGACAGTATTAATTATTGCACTTACTCTACGCGTAGATTAAAACTAATTTAATTCCATTAGATCAATACTTTTGATATTATAAACATAAAAAATATGTATTTTATATTAGAATCTGAATTTTCATGAGTAAGGGATATTATTTCCATGTCAAATTGGATCTCATTTAATACCAATTTCAACTTCGTGCTACACTAATGATTTTTCTTTTTCATTAGTAACAACTTTCTAAAATCTTTGGAATGGAATTTAATTTTAAAGACTGATAATTGAACTAGTGTTGAAAAAGAGTTGCTCAATTGTCAATTTTTAAGAGTGAGATTTTACTCTTTAGAATTAGATTTCACTTTAAAGATTTTAGAAAGAAAAAAGAAGGATAATTGAATTATTCTGATTTTTCAGGGAAAATATTCGCAATGCTTTCCGTATGTGATAATGCAGTTCCACTATTTAGTGGCATTTTATATTCCCAACTTTACAACGCTACAATAAAAACAGCACCGAACTCTTTTTATTGGTTGACATTCGCTACACAGATTGCCGTGCTTTTAATAATTCTGTAAGTAAATTATGATTTTTGTGGACATTTTTTCATATGTCATTTTTTCTGTCGAGTACAAAATATATTAAAGAATGTCACTGTGTCACTTTTTTTAATTACGTTCGAATAATCCAATTTTAAAGAGTTATTATTTTTTTTATAGATTGGTTCAGTTTTCATCCTGGTCTAAGCATGCAACCGAGCAACAGGATTACAATGATGATGAGGTTGTGGCTCCATCTCTTTCAAATACTATTGAAGCTAGCTCGTCGAGTAATGTAACAAACGAATCTTAGAGAGATTGTATCTGCCTTACATGCATAATGCATACCTCGTCATTTTATAAAAATAAAATTTGTAAATAGATAATTTACAAATGTAATGTCACAATTTAGAAATTCATGAAATTCCATTCGCAATAAGCTCAAACTTATATATTTTCAAGTATCAATTATTGTTATTTGAAGGAGATAACATAAAATTAATAATGGCTCATCTTGCGATAAAATTATTTTTAACGTAGATTAATTTAATTATCATATTCATTTGTAATTAGATTTTAGAAGTATTTGATGGTTAAGAACAGAAAATATAAACTATGAATTAGAAAATATTTTATACATTATAATAAAATGCGTACAAAGAAATGTCTATATCATTGTTAAGATGTTATATATTTCTGATACAAAATAATTCTAATAGAATGATGTTATATTAAAAATAATTTTAAATTCACAGAGATTTCATTGAAAAATCATTGAAAAATTATTATGAATTTAGAACCAGACTGTGAGATGTTAAATTGTAAATAAATGCATTTGTAATATAATATCTATATCTCAAGACTAGTATTACATATTTTAGATTGTTATATATTTCGTAAGACTAGATTATATTTTTATATTAAATCATTTTGTATTGATTTGAATCAAAGTTTGAATCAGACTTATTAAATCATAGTTCGAAAAGCATTTTTCAAATAAATTGAGGCTATGTTCCAAAATTGACTACTTGTACTGAAAATCTATAGTGCACGTAACATAAATTGTTGCATTTTCAGTGTTGGCAGTAACTTTAGAACATATTCAAACTTAGTTCAAATCTCAGATTGAACTATGACTATGAATACGGTACATTTACTTTATATTACTCTTGTGAAAAACATTTCTATTTTTCTAATATTTCTCTAATATATTTATTAAAGTTGCAAAAAATTAATATAAAATCGAAATCTTTTTTAAATAATAATCTAATAAAAATTATTTTTATTCCAAGTTTTTACATATTCATTTCTAAATATTCTGTTAAACCCATATCTAATTTTTTCCAAATTAAAATTTATTTCTAATTAATTTAGAAAATAATATTTCTCGTTATTAATTAAAAATATTTAATATTGTTAATATTAGGAAATTTTAATTTAAAATCTTACATCACATTTCTATGCCTTTCTCAAAATTAATTCTCTCGTAAAAAATGATCTTCAATTTCATTAAGAGATATAGTGCAACACCGATAAGACTAGTTTTTGGAACTGTGATTTTTATAATGTTTAGGATAATGTTTAGGATAATATTTAGAATTACTCTAAGAAATCTACGATACCCATTAGTATTCATTGAGCGCAAGCATGTCAAGGACTATTGGCTAATTGTCATCGTTTAGAATTTTTGGCGCAAATTGTATTTTTCGAGACCTAAATTCTGCGAACACCATTAAAAAAAAAAAAGAAATTGAAAATGTTAAATAATAAACGATTTTTGATGAGAGCATTTTTTATGGAGCATTTCATGTAATCAATAATTCATACCTCTTTATTCTACATAGAAGAATAAAAAATTCAGTATTGAAAGATCTATTCACACGATAAAATCATCAATTATGAATATCGACATCAGCTCGTTCAAATATTTCGGTTGATAAGATTATTTTTCCTTTGAGTCATTCACGAAAATCATCCACTGCGTATTAATTTATAATTTAATAAATATTATATTAATATAATAAATATCATATTAGAAATACTACGTTTTCTATATTATTCATATTATTTATAAATTCCTATTTTTCATATTTGTACATTTTTATGATCTGTTTTTTCTTCGTTATATATATGCGCATAATATTATATCTATATCCTTTAATAATTATAACTGTAATTATGGCAGTTTCAATATAATCACAGGTATTAATTTAAATCTGTTGATAATTACTTTCGCAAACGCAATATGCAAATCTAATAATTAAATAAAGTCTTTAATTTCTAATTATGTTATATAACAATTGCTCGCACCATTGCGCACAGAGATATGGATTAGTTCTCTGCCTTTCTCTTCTATGATTTATGCAATAACGCACATTAATCTGATTAAATACTGCCAGCTATCATGAATGAAACATCTGTTCGATTTTTTGGAAATTCCTTGGACGCATAATATACGGGCGATATCGCTTTGCACGTACATATTCTGACCCAAATAGCCACCTCTTAGAATCTACCAGTATAAAAAGTCTGCCAACTTTAAAGATTCGCATTATTCGTTTCGAGCAATGGTTCGTCAAGGAACATCTGGAATCTTCGATATTATGGTAATACAGAGATATTATGGTAATACAAACAAATCGCTTGTAAAATTTTGTCAAAAAATAAAATGTAAAAAATATAGGTAATATATATGTATAGAAATCCTATTATACTTCAGTAAAAATTGGAGCATTATAATTCTCATCTCGCATATTTAATAAGTTTTGACGTGCTTCTGCACAAAAAAGATTATCGTCATGATAATTATCATCACATTAGTTAAACAATTCTCCGTTGTTTTTTCAATTTTGATGAATAAATGATTGATAAAAAAACCTAAAATATATCTATTAGTGTTCGCTCATCAACAATCAGTTGCACGTAAGTTTATTTTCTTTTAGTATTTATTACAGTTAATTAATATATATTTACTATTTATTATATATA